GAAACTATTATTTTATTTTTAACTGTCGTGTTTTGAAGTTTGTATTTGTTAATTGCTTTAAATTGCTTAAACACTTGAAAACTTATTTTACACATTACTACGATTACTGCCGTGAAAATAATATAAATCAAGGGAATGGTTGTATTCCCTGTATAGAACTGTTTAGAATGTGTGTTAAGTTAGACATATCCAAATATACGACCGTCAAATTGAAATAAGGAAGGTCCACAATTTATGGGAGGAAAATTATACACGTGTTTATTTATTGAAGATTAACAGGAGTGAAAGAAAAAGGAGAAAAGTAATTTCAAAAGGGAAAAGTTCCAAATAAAGGGGGCGCAAATCGGAATGTCAAATTTTATCTAACAATGTGTCGAAAAGCTAAGCTCTTCCAACAAGCAAATAGAGAATTACAACCAAAATAAATGTCGTATCCTACGGTCTAGAAAAAGCATGGATCCAGGCGTGTTTTTTTCTTTTCTTTTTTCTTTTTCTTTTTTCTTTTTCTTTTTTCTTTTTTTTTTTTTTTTTTTTTTTTTCCTTTATTTTTAATTCATCTGTTGGGGGTAGCACAGCGTTTGTTTTATTTACTAATCAAGCGCAGATAAAGCCTGGGCAGTTTTTTTTTTTTTCTTTTTATATGGGAGATCGGCAGTTGCCCATACACCACGACTCTTCTCTCTGCGCCATCGATGTTGTCGAAGAGAGGTGCAGGGACAGATACTGCATGGCACCATTGTCATCGCAGGAGTTTTCTGTTTTCAGAACAAGGTTGAACGCAAAGTCGGACTACATTTTTGGATTCCATTTCCAGAATCCTGAAGAAAAACTTAAGAAAAAAACACTTTCGTTGCTCGTTTATGATCTTGATCGTGCAATACAATGCCACCTTTGCCCTCCCCCTAAATCGGACTATTTCAGCTCCAAGGCAGATTGGTTGTTTACATTATTTAATAATATCGAATTTTATATGAATATCCGAACACACTAGTCGGTAGTAATGGTCAAGTGTGGTACAAGGCCACGGTAGTGTCAGTCGATTAAGTTCCAGTCAGTCAAATTAAGTTCCACACCCTTCTATTATTCGTAATCTTAAGAAAAACACATTTTTATTCATTTCTAGAATTTGTTAAAGCAATTTGTGGTTTTGCGTAATAGTTGTCGAAATTAATTTACAATCACTATTCCATGTACCTTGTGTTACTGTTATTTACTAATGTTAAGTATGGCACAAGGACAGGATCAAGACAGCATAATCGAACTCATTTACAGTATCAATAGTTTGCGAGATGAATTTGCTCACCATTGTTCCACAAAAAGTTTTAAAAAGTGTTCTTTAGTTACTAATCTTAGTTTCGTCTGGTACAAAGCCAACGTTATGGAGCGCCCACTGAGAATCGAATTGACTGCTCTCGCGAAACTATTCGTATAAAGGTATAAGGCACAAATATTTCGTTCGAGATTAAAAGAAAACAAAGAAAGAATAAAAAAGAGAGACTGAGTGCGCAACATTGAAACGTCGTTAAATACACGTACCCTTGAATAGGGGTCTGTGAAGCGAATTTAGTACATAAGATATTATGGTCGTATATCTTTTTTTGTGTATGGTTTTTAATTTACTTTTTATTTTGGCGGAAATAACCCTGAAAGAGATTGTTTTCTTTTTCTCTCTATGAAGTCTGTATTTTACATTGTTTCCGTTCTTGAATATTTGGTTGCCATTTTACTTTCTGAATGAAAAAAAAGAAACAAAAAAAAACTGGGCGCTCAAACGGCAAACGGCCGCACAAGTAAGGGAACGTATCTTAAAGTTCGTTTATTGATGATCAAGAAAAAAAATCAGATAACATTAACAACATATGGGGAGGAAAAAAAAAGATGTCGGCCGTTAATGTTAATTCGTCTACCTTCTTCGTTCTGTTTCAACATGTCGGCAAATGTGTCCTTTTTGAAATCAGTTTTTATTATTTCTGGAGCTGGACATTGCTATTTTCCTCGTGCTTTTGTGACTTCACTCAATTTATCTTGCATCTGTGCTTTTCTTTTTACTTCCTTCTCTATTTTTATCTCCTACCCCTGTTTTCCTCTTACTTCTCCTTGTCTCTCTTACCTACCTCACTTATCTCTTCTGTTTCTTTCCCTTGACGACTCAGCACTCTCTCTCTCTCTCTCCAACTTGCACTCACGGAATGTTGTTTTCTCTTTTTCGAAATTCAGTTTTACAACTATGGCTGGAAATGGCTCCAATGTGCCTCATTTTATATCCTTTGTCGCCTTCCTTATCTAGTGAAAACAATACTGTCCTTTCATATAATAGCCGCGCGCGCGCGCACACACACACACACACACACACACAAAAGGATGTCTGAAAGCCATAAAGTAACATTTCCATCATTTAGAGATTGTTTATCTCCCCTTTTCATACTGATATCTGTTTGTGATATTTCAAATGATCTCGGCACTCGATATTCTCTTAGTTCCCTTCGGATGCTGACGTTCTCATAGTAAATCACTAAACCAAATGCTGTTATGAAATGTGAGATGTCATTTTTATCTATCATTTTATAGTCAATGACTCTTTTCTGATATTAATCTCTAATAAGCAAACGTTCCATATCTGTTCATCGTCATTAGCTTTGTTTTTGATTTTTCACATAGATTTCATAAATATGGCCTTGGCAACTCCAGTTTAATGCACAAAATCATTTGTTACTGGCTCCAGTTTTCATGGTTCATCTAATAAGAATATTACTTTTTTTAATTAACTGTTTGATCTTATGAAGTTTCATATATATCGTTTAAAGCCCTTCCACGCATATAAGTAGTTTACTCCTGCTATTTCTGATGATCACTCTTTTGTTGTTTCAAACATTAACTTCAACACGTACAAATTTAACTTCATGATGTGATAATCCAATAAAGATTTTCTGTTATGGTTTCGTCTAAAAGAATAACCTGAATTTGTTCGTATACTTTTAAAATATCGTATCGGATTGAGGAATCGGAGAGCCGAGTATGGCACATAACTGAATTATCTTCGTCATACATTGCACGTAAACTGAAATGAATTATCTTCGTTATACATTGCACAATGTGATGTTGTTTGTTTTTTTTTATTACTGTGAAGCATTTTCGAGAAAAATATTGTTTACATTATCTACATTATTCGGACTGTTATCCTCATCTTCATTGCCATATTCACAACGTTTCAGCCGTTGTACGCTCCGGCCTTCGGGTGATTGGAATTTCGAACCGAACCCTTTATTTCGTCCACCGGGGTAGATTGTTCTAGTTCCACATGCCGTTGGTTCTTTAATGACGTGTTTTTTCAATTCCAATGCGCGAATGACTATTTTGGAGAAGAATTTTGTACTTCTATCTGCTTGTAAAATCTGCTACATCCAGTTTGCGTTGCAGACTACTAACTAATCCCTCATCTTGTTTTGTTCATCTTTCGAGAATCTAGTCTCATTTGATTGTTAGCAGATTGGCTGAGAATTACTAAAAGAGTTACAAACAAAAGAGTTAAGTTATTGTTTTACCCGCGATAAACTACATGATTGAACTTTGACTGTCCGTTTCTATCATTCGTGTTCATATATCTCTTTACATCTACAGCTCACGGTTCAATACCTATTCTATCTATGTCTCCATCTTAATGGGTGTATTAGCGTGTGTCTTCCACTTGAGTAGACCAGTCTTCGGAAACTGACGGCGCCCATGTCGGTCGGCCGCTGCGAGTTCCGTATAATTCCTTCACTGTCTGCTTGATAAATGTTGCAGGCGACAAATGAAAGACGACATCTATCCAGCAATTCATATCTCAATTGTACATAATATTCTTTTTTTCTTCGCTATCATTTGTTTGTGATCAATTAGCTCGTTAAGTATTCATTCGATTGAGCGAATGAATTACTCAATGTTTGAGTGGAATCTTACGAAAAGATTACTATTTTTAAATAATTTTTTCAAAGAAATTTTTTAAAATATATACTTTTGAGTCCATGAACTTCAAGACAACCGACATTTTTTTAACACGAAATACGTCTTTGTTTCTTGTGACACTGAAAACAGTCGACATTAAAAGCACTATTTGTGAGGATTGACTACAAATTCAACATCTTTCTGTATTTATTTGAATTTTTTGTAGTTGATATGCGTGAACCGTGGATCTTGTTGCTGTCTCCGAGGTTCGAGTTAATGGCATTAGGCGAGTTTAAAAAAGCTTTATTAAAATAACTTCTGTTCTGACTCTTATTTGATGATGGAAAGTATATCGATCATAACTTAATGATAGGATTTTACAAGTTTGATTTGAAATTATAAATGTACCAGGGACGACGGCTCATTAGTACAATTCCCTTCTCACTCCATGGAGAAACGTCTCCGTTTTTTTTTTTTGTTTTGTTTTGTTTTTAAAAAAAGAAAAAAAAAAGGGTACCAGGGATGAAAGTACCAGATCCAGAACCAGGACATTCTCACTCCATGGAGGATCTCCTCCCTGATTCACCGTGTCTTCATGGGTGTAACCGTACTCACCACGTTTGGTCAATTGCACGTTGGTGAGGTTGGAGATTTTGAATTCAGAGTTGTTTACCTATAGCTGGAGGAGAATAGATGAATTCATACCTTTCCCTAGGGTATTTGCACGTAAGTAAATGTAACGAACTTGACTGGAATTCGAACTCGGCTCTCCGATTCCTCAACCCGAGCCGCTGTTCATCCAAATGAGCCTTCAATGCGTGAAATAATAAAACTGGGAGTAAATGATTTATTTGGGGAAAGCTGTTCCTGAATTTTCAACTAGATGAAATATAATCTAACGTAGTTAAGGATTTTTATAACGAATGCGCCGCGTTCGTTTGATGTTAGTGTAAGAAGTGTAAAGTGTTCATTAGAAAATAATAGTAAATAAAAAGGTAGCAGAGGAGAAAAATCTGTGTAATGATTTCGTAACAAGTTAAGCGTTCTATTGGCTAATTAATGTCAACATTTTATCAATGAAAGAAGGACGGCAGAGAAAAGCCGGCGGCACTTCGCTGAATTCGCCAACTCAAACAAAATCGTCTGTTCTTACTCCCCTTTGCACACATGTTACCGCTGTTCTCGTTAAAAAAACAAACAGCATTGAAAAGGTGAAATCATTCTTATTTATTCTCTTGGCTGACTTCAGTTTGTCTTTACCTCTTTACTACGTTCGCAGTGACGCTCGACCGCACTCACAAACTAACACACAACCGCGGCCAGTTTTTCCTTGCACTAAACGATGTGGAAAACGACTATTTATCATTGTAAGACAACATCAACAGTCCATGTGCAAAGTTGTTGATACCTTTTGTTTTATTTTAATCTTTATTTCGTTCGTTACCGAATTTTTGTTGGTTTGAACAGCTTACATACAGATTTTGAACATTTTTGTTTCTATCTACCTCCCACTATTTAAAAAAGATATATATTTTGGTAAAAATGCACCCCCCTATACATTTGATATACAACGGTGACGATAAAGGGAGATAAATGTAACTGTATGTTCTGCTTACGTTTGCTTTTCATTTATGAAAATATCAGTTTTTATATTTTATTTTCTCTTTCTGTATTGTCTACCCATTTTTTAATGGATACATGTAGCGGCGATTGTCAAAGAGTTGGAAACGATCTTTGAGAAATTTTCTTTATTTTCTTAAAATTCAGAAATATTTAATTTCCTCGTGCAGAAATGATAAAATCTACGCAGATTGAATTAAGGAGTTAAAAGTCAGTGAAAAGCCAAAAGCTAACCGACTTACACCTGGTTCAAATTCACTCGACGCTAAAATACAAACGCGATTGTTTGATGATAAAACTCTTCGTAATGTGTGAGCTGTACTTGTGAGTACATTTTTTTTTTATTTCTTTAAGAGATAGGCTACCAGAAATCCATTCAATGAGTCTATCGGAACCTTTTTCCAATCCATCTGAGGGCTCCAACTACAATTGAAATTATTGATGTCCTCACGTGCCATATTTCTCAGATTTCCACTTCAAGATACTTGTATTTTCATAGTGTTTTTGAAGATCTTCGAAGATATGGTTATTACTACAATAATAGCAGTATTAAATAAATTTAAAAAAAAAAAAACTCTTCTGTTTGGGTGGAGGCTGAAAAAAAAATTTTTGGTAAAGATTTGTTCGATTTTTCTTTTAGACCACGTCTATAATTTAATATATCGATGAGCCTGCCCACACACTTGGGAAAACCAATTGACAGCATAAAGTGTTGTTATTGTAGCCCATTTGGATTTTCCGATAAGATGTGAGGTATTTTAGACCATTGATACTCATATACCTCGTTTCATTTTGCCTTGCCAAACCAAGCACTTTGTTGGCGAGAGAAAGAAATAAAGAAAATCTTGCCAAGTCCAAGTTTCTTGCTGATGGAGATTACTGATCCGATTGGTCTCAGTAAGATGGAGAGAAAAGTGCGATCACTACAATTATGAAGCCTCCCTACCATCCGTTGGCTTTAAGAACGCGTCGTCCAGTGACTGTGATTCCAGCTTGTCCACTTTGTGTTTACTGCCATATTGACCTTCTGCTCTCAACACCCTGTGATCTGACGGTATGAAATGCACAAAACTGACGACCGGATATCATATAGTGTTACCGGCTAACACTTTTGATTGCCAAAACCGGATACAGTCGGTTATATAAAATAATTTCCTCAATTTCATTCCTGATTGCAGTGTTGAGATAATTGCAATACTGCCTGCCTACTGGGTCGGAGAGCATTTGTTTGACTCAGAAATCAATGGTCCGACTTTGATAACGGTGATTGAGGGATTTGTGTTGAATTGGGTGGTGAGCGGCGGAATACATCGGAATATACAATAACTTTACTTTAGTAGTAAAAAGTATAGCAGAATGACAGAAGGGTTGATCTCCAGATGCCATCGATCTAGTCACGTGCTATCATGTTTTTACCGATATTAAATGAATGCAAATTTTTTTTTTCTCTTTCTTTTTTTTTCTCTTTCTTTTTTCTTTTTAATTTTTTTTTCTGGCTTCCTTCTGAACACCATGTTACTTTAATTTCATGGTGTATTTTTCACTATTACCCTCCCCCACTCTCTCTCATACCTATTTTTCTTCCTCTTTTCTCCTCTACTTTTTCAGTCCCTCTCGTTCGACATACTCTTTTCTTTCACACTTTTTTGTTTTTCTCTGTTTTTCCTTTGTTTTTCTTTTCCTCCACTATGTTCTTCTCTCTCTCTCCTTCTCCTTCTCTCTCTCTCCTTCTCCTTCTCTCTCTCTCCTTCTCCTTCTCTCTCTCTCCTTCTCCTTCTCTCTCTCTCCTTCTCCTTCTCTCTCCTTCTCCTTCTCTCTCTCTCCTTCTCCTTCTCTCTCCTTCCTTCCTTCTCTCTCCTTCTCCTTCTCTCTCTCTCCTTCTCTCTCTCTCTCCTTACATTGCAACCTCCACTAGCTTTAAAACCTTTTTCACTTTTTTTTTGTAGCCCCCACCTCCTTTTACCACCTCTCTTTTCATTTCCATTTTTATTCATTCTTTCTTTTTCCCTCTTACATAAACCTTCGTTGTTTTTCTGCATTTACGCTTTCCTCCTCTTCTGCTCTTCTTTCGAATTTTATCTTTGCCGCTCTTTCTTCTTCATTTCCATTCCCCCCCCCTCTCTCAAAATATTTACGCCTTGATGTCAAATTACAATGAGTCACTTAAGGATCGTGCTATACACATGCGCTACAACATGGTTTGCATTTGCACATTAAATGAGTGCTTCACGCATGCGTATGCATGCTTTTTAAATCTTGTCTTGCAACTAAAAACTTTAAGGGAAGGGCAACTTTTACAAGGGAAGAAGAATGTTGGCTGGTCGAAAGAAATGAAATTAATAAAATTATATAAAATAACAACGAAATGAATGCATAAATAAACAAATATGATTGAAAAAGTTGCCACCAAATGCTATCCACAAGTTTTCAAAGTCATTTTACAAGGAATGTTGCTCTAACACAATGGCTTTTGTAAAGAAAAATACGAAAAATAATTTAGCTGTATGCAATCTCTATTCATTTTTTTTTTTTTTAGTACGTTTTTTTTTTCTTTAATTTTGTTGTCATAGTTTGTTGTTCTTTTGTTGTTCTCTGTTTTCTTTTTCACGAAAATTGATGACAATAACGTTTAAAAAAAAGAACATATCTGTGAACAGGAAATGCTATCCCAGACGACATCAGCGAATCTCTGCTTTCGGTATTTGGGAAAAGGAATCTCTTAAAACGAGCTGGGGTCTACCCTAGGGGGTATCGTGCAGGGCTACCTTGTGAAAGAGGAAGCTTGTCTTTTGTATTAAATTTTTATACGTAGACAGAGCTTAGGGAATAGTTGTAGAAATGAAACAGTTGCTGCCTGTCTGCTTCTCGCTCTTTTAAGGTTTCTTGTGTTTTTTCTTGGTTTTTATCCCTTTCAAATTCCTATGTTTTAGCATTAATGCGTGCATCTCACACTTCAAAATAGACCAAAAATGAAAAATAAAGAGACACCTATTTATCAACAAGGAAACCAAATAAATAAAATTCCACTCCTTTTCTCGTGTTTATTTAAAAGGATGACAGTGTCGCACTCACTTGTTAAGCATTTTATCGTCTATTTCTTCAACTTTATTTATGGTTGTTAGTTTCTAATTTAACAATCTTCTGCAAGTTGAATAAAAGTTTATTATGAAGGTGACAAATTTTTTAAACGCGTTTCTATAAATAAAATCTAATTTTCTTTATCTTGCTATTTAGGTATTAAATTTAGTTTGACAACTACCGGGAACTCGGTAAAGATAGAACCCTTCTCAGAAATAATGTCTTCAAGATTAGATTGCTAATCCTTGCGTTATAGTAAAGTTATCGTTTATATTTGATTTGCATAAGATACGATGAAATAATAATAATACGCGTCCTTTTGATGCACTCATAGATCAAAAGAAAGACGAGAAAGTAATAAACTATGACCCATTGAAATTTGAACATGCAAGGTTTTGGAAGTTCAAGTGCGCCTTGTACGGTGACCAACAGAATAGACCTGAATAAAGAAAATTGAAATTGATTGCCTAGTGGAACTGTTGTAGAAGAGAAGCCAAAAATAATCCGGAAATTGATAAACGCTTAGAATTAGAGGAAAATGGCATGACACCTAAGACTGTTGGATGTGACTCGGTATCCATGCATTAATTACCAGATATTAAGATCTTATCTTGGCCGATAACATTATTTGTTATGTTAATGGTGCAAAAGAGACAGGTGAAATTACCGGTGCATATTATGAGGAAAAGGTTTGGAAAATTTAGTACACACAGGACATATTGAAGCCGAGGTGGGGGGCGGACAGCGAGTAACCTACATAACGAGTTTGCGTGAATGACAAAGGAAAAACAAGGGGAGTAAAGGGAAACGTTTACTCGAGTATCAAGGGGTAGGAAATTGTGGAGAGCTGTCGTCACTTACGCTCTGAAGGGACATGGGAACTAATAATACAGCTAAAAATGGCCTTCATGTCATTAGATTACATCTTTCGCATACTACGTGAAATGATCAGTTTTATGGAACACAACATTGCAGACAATCTAATCCCCTAAACATTACACATTTTAATGCAATGGTTGAAATACAGTCCAACAGACGGATCACCTGTGACAATCTAACTAATTTTTGGACTTTTATTCATGATTTCTTGAAGATTTGCGAGAATTGAAATGTAATTTTGGGTGGTTATTGTTTTCCCCCTCCTCTTTCTAATTCTCCTTAGAATAAGAAGCAGATAGGATTGATTTATTCGTTTTTTACGTCTTGTCAACCCTTTGCAAGTTACTTAAATTCAGAAGATATTTTTAGATTGTAAGATTTGGTGGGAGTTGATGATTTTGTGTTACAAGTTACATAGCTGGGAGAAAGATGTGGATTCATGCCTTTCCCAAGGGTATTTGCGCGTAAGTGAATATAACGAACCCAACAGGGATTGGAACTCGGCTCTCCGATTAACAATTCCGAGCCATTATCCATTTCACCATTTACCGTATTCACCTGATATTGCATACAACCCGCACATCCAAGCTGATAGCATCTGGTATTTTCAAGCGGTCACCTATCTAGGTACTGACCAGGCTCGACGTCATTTCGGTGATCGTACAGGAACCGGTATTTCAACGTGATATGGCCGTTAGCCAAACAGGCGGAAAATAATGAAAAACATTATTTTTTTTAAAACTTATGATTTACTAATAATATTCACTTGAACCGCTGCATTTGTAAAAGGAAATTAGAATAACAAAACGTGTGTGTGTGTGTTATATATATATATATATATATATATATATATATATATATATATATATATATGGGGAGGGCGGTCTGATGACGTTAAAATACTTTTTTTATCTTAATAAAAGCGTCCAGAATCAGTTAAGAAAATGGTGTAATAATTCACGCCTACAACGCAAAGCCGCCTGCTTCTTTGATTTTGCTGTTGAAAATTGTTCCAGCTTCGCTGTGGATTTTTCACCATTTACCGTATTCACCTGATATTGCACCTTCAGATTCCCAATCGGTATTCTCATTACAGAACTTGATTATTGGCAAACAGAATTCTGTGGAAGCAGTATAGAGTTATGAAACTGCCTGAAAACTGTCAGAAGGTAGTGAAACAAAATAGTAAATTCAGAACCATTTACACTGAACGGATGTTCCCTAAAGGAGGTCCTGGGCCTTAAACTCAACCTAAACATCGTGGCACTTGTACATACGATCCATCGCTAAAGATGCATGAAAAACAGTAGGTTACCTGTACCGCTCCTGTCATGCTCGACCGTTACAAGAGTCAGATCAGCCAGAAAACTGAGTACTGCTGCCATATTTGGATAGAAGCTGCTCAATCTTCACTGTACCCCTTACATATAAACTGTACCTCTTACTTTGTAACCCTCTATCTCGAGGGGCCCCCGGCCTTGTACAGAGTGCACATCATTGTAAAAAAAAAAGAAAATATTCAATAAAATTAACTCAAAGAAACTGTATTTTAATTTTACTCAATAAACCGAACGATGTTTTTTCAATCATCCAATCGGAGCATAGAGGCATTATGGGATTGTTTCTGTGAAAGAAGTCGTCAGGATGAAGTTTCTATTTTATTGGTTCGTACGGCTTCTCTTGTGAGACTTGAATAAAAGTGGTTGAAATAAACGGAGAGGTTGGATTTTTTTTTTCAAAAGCTAATAAGTGATGGGTGAGTGTATTAAAAAAAAATACCTGCCAAGTGGGTAGTCTAGAATTTATTTTATAAACGAAACTAAAGAAGTGGGTGTAGGATTTTTTTTCCAAAGATTAACAAGCGTGGTGAGAGTGCGGTTATTACAAATTCGATTGTAGTTATCAAGAAATCTTATTCGAAGGAACAGTGTTAAAAAAAACAAACCTTGTTTCTGCAAAATACACATCATTTCATGTCATTAGCGCACGTAGAAAATAATGAATGCATCGTTATAAAAAAAAAGTTTTCCGAAAATATCATTTCAATTTCAAATCATCTGCGTAATCAATATTGCTTTATTCAATCATTTACATTATTAGTAAATAATTAGTGCAGTCTGGTGAAACGGGAAACATTTTTAACAAAACAAATATATTGTGAATAGTTTAATAAGTTAACTTCTAATTTTCATTCATTAATAACAATAAAGCTATTATCTTTATGCAACATTATCAAGCGTTAATTTGTTACTAGTATTTTATTCTAATCTTAATTTTATATTTGCCCTTATAATTTTTACTCCTGCCTTCTGTTCTATAGCAGTGAGAACATAGAGCACAATATCGGCGAGATTTAAACTTTTTAACCCCCATCCTTACTTCTCTGGTGGCAAAAAGGACGTAGGTTCAAATCTTACCAAGAGACTTTTTTTTGTTTTTGTTTTTTTCGATACTACTTTTTTTATTATTTACTTCCATAGAATTGATGGGCGGAGCAAGAGCTTCATTAAAAAAAAACAACGAAAATATGAAAATAAATACTAATAAGATTTACTAACAATTTATAACAGTAGCTCGATTTATTGAAACCTTAATTCTGACTACCGGTGTTTTCGTACTTCTAAAGTTGTGTGAACCTTATATCTGTCACCGATTCACACTACTTTGTTTTTAAAGAACGTTTGACTTGGTAATTCCATAAGTGAATTTATTTCACGAAGAATGTCAGACCCCCATCTACCATTGCGTTTCGGTTTATTTAAGCCGGCACTTAATCAAGCGCGTTTTTAAACTTGTTTTTCGACATGTCCATTCAGATAAGTGTTTTGTCGAGAACTGTCCATTTGACCCCACTCATTGAATCTTAAAACGTTTTTAGACGAGGGACGACTGGACATTACATTTTGTTCGTTTTCTTTGTCCTTCAAGCAAACAAGGCATTTCCACTCGATGCTTTTACTATCTTATACAACAATATTTGTTTGAATCAAAAGGCGACGATAGTTGTATTTGCTCTAAAAACTGAGATGCTCGCCATCATCACAGTCTTACAGTCCGACGTTTTTTTTTGTTTTTTTTTTTTATTTATTTATTTTTTTATTTACTCGTTTAATGTTTTGTTTTTGTTCGTATGTCGGGCAAATACATTTGCGTACGTCCTCTTGCTAATCAACATATTCCATCTT